TATATCACTGGTAATAGTGCAGTTGTACTGTATCGCTACAAGTAGTACGTACGAAACTCATACGGTACTGCTAGTAGTATAAAAAGGGCATACTTCATGCAGTATTACTGATAGTATACTACAGCCAACACTGTCACGATATCATTGATTGGGGCGCAATTCTGAGTTGCACAAGAGAATCCCAAGCCCAAGGAGATGTCGTTCAATCCTGCAGTATTATATATTTCCCTATATATCGAGCCAGACAGCGAAATATGTTGAAAGAGCCAGATACATCAGGCCAAATACATATGCAATGAATAGAGCTAGAACCCAAATAATAGGCTGAGTACCAAGAAGTTTGAATGGCCGAATCATTGCATATCTGAAAGTATTCCAATGGCTGTCCTTATCGTATGGGGTGCATACACGTCGATTTTGAGTTGTGTCCCTGACTCTTTTTGCTCTTCTTCGAAGAATCGTCGGTCCAGTAAAACGCAGCCATGCAAGGTCATTTATTTTTGAAAAGTCTGAGTGATAAAAGACCCCATCGCATAGTTCCATAGCCAATTCCTTGGCCCTCAACGAGCTGTTTTGTTGTTGCCAAGGAAAAGACTAGATAAAGAGATAGTAGGATAGCAAGCCCAAAAACGAGTTTCTCTTAGCGCCATAGCCTTGTGATGTCTCAAGTTCTTTCAGACCCTTCTCCCACGATTGAGCAAAGTCTTTCCACTTTCGAAAGATCTGTTGCCCAAGACGTCACAAGGCGCACAACCAGTGCCGTGTCGCTGAGATATTTCCAGACAAAGAAGTCAAAATCCTTTGCCAATACTTGAACCAGTGCCGGTGGGAAGATGACAAACACTTGATTGGAATCCGTCCGCATCCACATATCATATCCCATCCTCACCAGAGCGGTAGACATTTCAGCTGCGGCGTTATTGGAATGACGTGCTAGACGAAAATAGAGATTATCCTGCAAGAGCGTGCTGAACTGAATCCCAAGAACTCTTCCCTTTGCGAGCAACATTCCTCGCTGCTTCATGTGGTAGGGAAAGTCTGCGCCAAAAGCCGGATCCTTGATGACTATCGCTTCGCCCAACAGCGCGCCATTCTTGGTGCCTCCGATCCAGAATGTATCTGTGAGATCATAAATATCTTTCAATGTCATGTCGTTCTTGGCGGACGTCAAGGCAGCCCCGAGACGCGCCCCATCCATGAGAAGTAGAAGGCTTAGCCTTTTGCAGATTGCAGCGATAGCTTCGAATTCGCTCTTGTTGTAAACAGTGCCAACTTCGGTTGTGTTTGAGATGAAAACCATTCGAGCCTTCGGCTGCCACGCAAATTCTGAGCTGCGATCAACAGCTGACTGTATCTGTTCCGGTGTTAATTTGCCCTCCACACCCCGCTCGACCAGGATCTTATGGCCCGTTGCCTCTACAGCCCCGCCTTCCTTTCCAACGATGTGTCCCAGCTCCGTAGCGATGATTGCCTCATGAGGACGAAGGTGACTTGCTATCGCCAAGAGGTTTGCTCCCGTGCTACCAGCTACGAAGCAGACTGTGGCATTGTTGGCGCCAATCAATCTTTGAATTGCCTGTCTCGCATCAACGCAGAAATCATCGTCTCCATAGCCGCTGTGTTGGGACATATTGGTCTGAGCGAGTGCCTCGCCTTCACTGTCATCATCATGGAAACTGTATTTGGTTGCTTTCTTCATGATTCGTCGGCCCAAAACGCAGGAGTTTACAATTCGAAGAAGGGGTGCGTCGAAGGGAGGGAGTACACGAAGAAAAAGTGTTGTGGTTGCAGGAAAAGCTCTGCTCTGGAGCTAGACAGTCGCGAGAGTGAATTAATCTTGAGGAGGAAGGAAGATTGGAAAACGAAAACACGTTCAATCAGTACCACAAAATACGTGTGTGCAGCATCATGGGGTGGCGATAACCGGGTTGTTGAACAACCTTGTGAGCCGTCCGCCGTAGGTAAAAAATAGCAAAATCATGATTAAACCGTTTTATTAATATAGAAGCGTTTTTTCTACGATTATAATTGTAACGTGCTTTTATAGGCCATCCTTTTACTTCCTTTGATTCGTCACCCCGGCTTTCATTTCCTTCTCTATCTCTTTGGAAAGAATTAACAATTGAAGTAAAAACGGTATCTGAATCGGGTTGACTTACCTGGATCGAGAGGCTTCAACGCTTTAAATTGGCTTGAAGCAGGGACCTTTTTATTTATTGCCTTCTCTTCTATGGTCTTTATACCGAACATAGTACCAATTTAGTCCGAGTTGATGACCTAGAAAATCGTGTTCATATTCGAAAGAGAAGTTGCCAAGATGATGCCATTGCAGAGTTATCCTTGCAACTGAGTCTATGCTACTCCCACATGCGCTCCAATATGGACAAAGAGCATATTCAGGCAGATTTTGAAGCACATAACCCAGCTCATTGACGCGACTTACACTGATGAAGTTCGCGTCGGCATACGAATCAAGTCCACTAGGAATACGCAATAGTTCAAAGAGGAAATTGGCGCTCCAGATACCAACGTATAGTGTCCTATGAGAACATTGATGTGGACGAGGTTTGCCAGTATATTCACAGTCGTTTTAATCAGGTTAATCACTCTCACGCATCTGGTCGAATCCAAGGACAAGCAGATAATCCTAATCCTGCAGAAGGTAATCGTTAAGAAAATTATAAGCAATGCTCTTAAAGACGAGGGGGGTTGAATTTCGATGATTGATTTCTCACTTTTGTAATACCTTTCACAAACAGCGCGCCCGTGGTGTGCGTAAATTTGAACTTAGGAACTAAATCAATATGTATTGTGGACGACTCCAAATCTAGCTGACATTCCATCTGTTTCACTGTGTGACGGAGCTTACGAGCAAGTGATGCAAAAGAGAAGTTGAATAGGAGTCTAGAAACGGTTTCATAACGCGTCTATTCTCTTAGGGCTCATTCTAAAACTGCACACTGAACCCCTGACCACAAACTGGGAAGCCGTCATGCCGCGGCATATACACGCAAGAATGATTCAATTCCAGCTTCGTGCTTCCATATCTAGACTTTGGAAAGTTTAGAACGTTGGAATGAAAGGATCGTCTGAGTGATCTTTTCACTGTTCGGATACAGGAACCCATGCCCACCTGGTACGTATTCAACCTGCAGATGACGGGCAGGTAACAACTTCAAGATATCCTCAGTCGTCTCCTCTCCAACCACAACATCATCGTCTCGACCAAAGATGACGAGCAACTTGGTATTATGCAGGGCAGAGTCGGGTCGTGTTCGGCCGGCAATAATATCGCAGACTTTTCCCCACAAATCTTCCCTCTTCTGCAGCGGGCCGTACCGAACCGTGTCCTGGAACGAATGAACGTGGCCTAGATGATGATCGAACTGCCACTGGATGAGGCCTCCCATGTTAAAACTCTTCTCTACTCGAGAGGGCCCCTGCTCCGACGAGACGACTCGCTTCTTGTCTGTCTGTATGTTCAAAGCCGGGCTAGATGAGACCGCGCCGAGGATCTCTCGCACTTTCTCACGGAGAGCTTCCGGTGACGGGGCAAGTTCGGGTTGAAGCACGTAATCGTCTTCGTAACCATCCGGTAGTTTGCGGATAAGACCTGCTGGCCCGAGAAGGATCAACGATCGAACTGATTCGGGGAAGGCGCCGGTGAATGCCAAGGAGATCGGCCCGCCTAGGGAAAAGGCTACGATGGAGAAGCTGCTGCCATTTCCCATCCATGAGAGCGGCGAAGACGTGAGGGCTAGTAGGATCTGGGATGCAAACAGACGGTCATCATGTCTACAGTCAAGCGGCGTGTCGCTGTATCCTCGACCCCAGAGATCTAGTGAGAAGCAGATCGGTCAGTTTCACCTGATCATTATTGTTGTGCCAGAGTGAATCATAATATTGCTTACCAAAGAGCATAACTCGGTATCCAGCGTCCACGAGCCCTTGAGCAATCTTGGAGAAGAGTGGGCAAGGTGTGGCATCTCCGTGGACAAACAAGACCTTCTCTCCATTAGTCGATCCCCATTCATAGACTCGCATAGCTCCGTAGAAGGATTCTACATCGCGGGCACCTGGAAGAGCATTGGGGGGGTATGCCATCGAGTCGGCCTCTTCGGCCGAGATGAAGGGTATCAGCGTTGTTCGGGGAGATTCGATCTTATTGGATCGAGCCATGATGTGATGATGCTGTTTGCCGTTTGTTGTAGGCAAGTTGGTCGTTGGGCAGCAAGATGTGTGAGGGTGAAGCAGAAGGTGGATGTGGATGTGGATATGGATGTGGATGGCGTTGAAGCTTCCTGACAGCCTGCCTGAACAAAATGCAGGTGTGACTGGCATCGGGTCACGTGCGTACCTGGTGTAACCACTGATATCGGTAAATGCCCGCCACATCTACGAAGTAGGTCCTTTTGACCGCAAGCCTAGAAACGTATGTCATCTGCATGCATGGGACTTCTAAGCATCGTGTGCAGCGCAGCCTTGCCTTGCCATAATATTCTTCCGTGTATGTTTCTGGCGCAGCGCAGCAATGCAGGCTGCCATTGGCCCGAGGCCAAGCCAATGCTTACCTGCAGTTCCATTCCTGTTTCCCCGCCCAACGACTGAACGCAATCGTGAAGAATCATCCTCTGATGGCAAGTGGTGGGTGTTACATGTGCAACCATTGCCCGACGTTTATAGGCAGCTTGATGATAGATTGGACTGTCCTCATCTGCGGACTAGTCAGCCTTATTATACAGGACGGGAATCGTGCATTAGTTTGAACAGGGCGGGAACGTGCATTAGTCTGGACGGGGCGGGAACTGTGCATTAGTATAGACAGGATTCAAGTGGGTTATTTCCATGAGATAAACGCCCCAATGTCACCCACTTAGCCCACTCACAAGGCGCTAAGGTCGGGGGTGGGTGGGATCTGACATGGGACCTAAGATACTACTAGGGTAAGTTTAATAACAGAATTTTGAATAAAGTAAATAAAATTAATTTATATTTTTTTCTTAAAAATATTTTTATGTTACAAACAGCGATTACGATAGGCCCAGCAAGCGAGCTTGCCGGAGATACCTCGGGACAAGAAGGCCCCAGGTGCACGGGATCAGCGATCACGTGATTAAAGTGGACCGAGGAGGACCGAAGGGAACGAGGACCTTTTGTCTCGGTCCCCTCGTTCCCCCTCGGCCCTGAGCAGGAAGGTTCTATATAAGCAGGTAGTTTTCCAAGTAGATAGGAGCTTCGTGCTCAACTCAAATATAGTTTCTTAACACCAAGCTATTAGTAACGAGATTGCATTCTCTTCAGAACCTACTCTTCTTTGATCCCGTATCACTCTACAGCCAACAAACCCGACAGTCAGGCGAGACCGTTACATTTTATTTATTTAAAATATTAAAATAAATAAAAATTTAAAAATTTTATTTTTAAAGAAATTTCACTCGTTTTACTTATTAATAAATATAACGGATTTAGTGGTATTTATTGGCTAGAAATGAAGATATAGCAGAGCCCCTTAATAGGCCGACCAGTGAATGGGTTGCTAGGTCTGCATAGGGCGAGTCTGTAAGCAGCCATGGCGCTCGAAATGTGAAGTCCGCCCGACTTATAGAGTGAGGACGACCTTCTGTATCAGCCATGGCACAAATACCTCATGCTGGAAATGTGAAGTCTGCCCGACTTATAAAGTGAGGACACCCTCTGAGCAAGCAATTACGACAGTCGTGTGTCACTCCAATCCCAGCCCTCAAATCTCCTACAATTGGTTTTCCAAGCAATGGATCCAACTCCAAAGCCGTTGTCGAAGGGTCCTTCACCCATTGTTCTGCGTGGTTCCTGTCTATGCGGCATGATCCACCTAGAAAGCAAGATGCTGCCCGAATCCATCACCATCTGCCATTGCCTAGAATGCCGCAAAGCTTCCTCCAACCCATTTTTGACGTTCGGACTATTCCACAATGACTTCATCCAATGGTATATGGCTCAGCCCCACGGCAGCAGAAAGGACTTGCACGGTGACCTATCAAAAGGCATCAAGCTGACCTACTACTCTGATATCGCGACACGCGGCTGGTGTCCTCGCTGCGGCACACCACTTTTCATGAAATACCACTGCCGACCAGACGGGACGAGTATCACGATGGGTCTGGTTGACGACGAGCATATCGTTGGCTCGATGCCGCCGGTTAAGGAGCACATCTTCCTTGGAGATAAAGCGGTCTGGTGGAACGTACCTTTGGATGATGGAACTGCTCGGTACCAAGGCTTCAACGAGCCTTTTACACGTCGACTTTTGGAGTGGTCAGCCAAGGGCCGTCCACAGAGATTAGATATGCCCCCTGCCCCCTCCAAGTTCAAACTTTAAGTTCGGTTGGTCCATTAGCGTGGGAATTATGCAATTAGTTGGAGAGTGTTGGATATGTTGTTAGCGGGCGATTGGTTGGGTGTGCTTTCTTCATTTCTCTGGGATTGAATTTTAGGCATCGTCGTATACCTAGGTGTTAAGATATGGCAATTGCAATCTCATATGTATGAGCAGTAATGAAACCATGGTGCCATTTTCCATCGTTTAAGAAAGTGGCTCAACGTACGCCAAGAGCTCTAACAGAAAAGGTGGAAGCTGCAGTTCTTGGTTTACGTAGCTAAATTGACCGTTATTTAATTTAAACCCCGGCACGTCGACGAGTGGCAAAGCCTTTCACTTCATAGTCTACCAATGGGCCCCTGTACCCGATCTTACCTCCCAGAAAGTAGCGGGCGATCGCGAAAATAATGATGGTGCCTAAAACTAGTACGCTGTAGTTCATATTCTCCTTAGTTACGGGTGTGATAGGTGGCCAGAAGCCCCAGAACAGCACCCATACGCAGAAGACGCAGGCGAAGCTGTTGTTTATAGTACCCAGCAGCCCAGGCACACGCCAAGGGCCCCAGTGCAGTTCTGGTTCTTCGAGAACCGTTTCAAAGTCACCATCGTCCTCCATTGTCAGCGGGCCCGGCACGCTGGACTGTCTGTCTTGTCCGGTGAATGTTGCTGCCCCGGGGTTTTCGTCTATCCCATACGGCTTGATTTGTCCAGTGACACGGCGCCAGAGGAGGAAACTGCACGGGATGAGGTAGGACGCGTAGAGACCAGCCACTGACATGGATATAACATCATTATATGCAGTCGGTGAGCCAATATAAATCAGGTTCAACAAACACGGGATGATGTTCACCACGGCGACTGCCACCATTGGGATCCGCGTACGGGCGTCGACCTATAGCTCACCGTATGTCAGCAGGCTTCCAGGGCTTGGTGAGAATAAATAGATGGAACTAATAGTACGAACCTTCCGGATAAAATGGTGGAATGGTAGGCCGTGGTCTCTTGCAAATGACCAGGTCATCCGGCTTGCCGTGGCAGCGAAACCGATGACAGCACACCAAATCATGACTATAATTATTGCCGTCATGATCGTAGCCCCAGCTCTGCCAGTCCCATTATAGAAGATTTGTATAAATGGAAAGCCAGTGGGTGAGTTCTGTAACACCAATGAGAAAGGCCTTCATGGGAAGTCGGAGATTAGAAACGGGGACTGCGTGGATACACACAATAACAGACTCAATATCGCCAAGACAGAAGAGTGCGGCAAGCACCATCGCCCATCCCATAGTGCCATTGAGTAAGACCGTGGTGAAAATGGCCCGAGGGACGTTCATCGCCGCATTTTCTATCTCTTCCGACATCTAGCCAAGAAGGTCAGGATCAGTAGTCTGTCCCAGACTCCCGTTAAGAGGAATTCCTACATGAACAGCCGCATCCGCTCCTGTTCAAAAGCGGTGATGGTGAGTCATAGATAGCGTCGTTTGCCATAAGAGGTGAGTGTACTTACCGACGAAGGTTGCCACGTTACCGACGAAGCCAATGCAATATGAAAGGCCTTGGGTCGGCCAGTTGCCTCCATTCACAGAGCGAAAGAAGACATCCTCTACCGAGCTGTGTGGCGACAGGTACAATAGCGAGGTCATTATAGCAATGAACCCCAGAATATGTATTAGAAGGATGACTCCTTCGAGGACGGGCAGGAGCCCAGCAATTACAGTATTGACAAAAATGCTTACGGCAATCACTGCCCAAGCCAAGAGTGCCCCATGAAGAGCCTTAGGTTCATAGTCTGGATAGTTCAAGATGATGAGCCCTTGAACCATCGTGCCCGTAAAAATGCTGCCCACAGCAAGGACTGCGATCCATGCAATTGAAGTTAGCAACCCTACAGATGTTAGTGCTAGCTCGATAGCGACAGGGAAAGGCTCGAAGTGGGAGATAACCTGTTAGATAGCCACAAAATCGCTTGTACTTTCGAGGCGCAAGAATCGCGACCCAAAAGTATTGTCCCCCAGAGATGGGTGCGCTACATAAGGGGATTAGCTTGTTGCTGGTAAGTCCGAGTCTCCCGAAACTTTTACATGGACGCCATCTCGGCCAAGCATAAATAAACGGATAATGAACACATCCAGACGATGGGGAATCCCCACGCCAAACCGGCTGGTCCACCACTGTATGATTAAAAATAGTCAGTTCGTGGAGACAGTCTCTTAGTCTTCTTCGGCTCGACTCGGTCGCTTACTTGGAGAATGCCTCCCCTAAGAGCCTGGGCACCTCAATATTAGCATCAGGACGTTTGAGAAATACGGAGCCTTTGATTCCTTACGCCAATGCCGTCTCCCACGTAGCGAGGATACAGCAGCTGAAGCCAAAAATGGAGAGAAACCCAAATCGTCGCTAGAAAGTCACGGTAATCATCAGCCAGCGTTTGATAAAACAGCAGCCCCCGTAGACACTGTAGCCGAACGGATGACGATGGAGATATTTGAAACATACCTTCAGCACCTGCGACTTTCCGAGACGTGCAAGACCGCGTGAATCTCTTTCCAAGTACGTAGAACCATGGATCTCGTCGAAAGTCCCTTCAAGCGTAGCAACCCTGTCATCGGTTGCTTCAGTCGAGACGTTCATTGGGCTGTGAGACTGTACACCGCGGAAATTTACAAATAGAGCTAAGTTGTTAGAAGAATAAGTATTCTAGACTAGATTTGTGGGAAAGGAAAAGCGAGACAAGGAAGGCACAGATGTCGAGAAGGCTGTAACAAGCACCAGTAAAGTCGGTGAGGGTACGATGATTACGTGGTACTCGGGTGGGACGAATTGGGAAAAAAAGTCAATTCCCGGGGTCGTCTGAGGGTTTGATGTTGTGTAACATAATAACTCAGCCACGAAGCGAAGCTGACTGCAGAACGCAACCTCGATAAGGCAGAGAAGACCGACAATCACGGAATATCCCACTTCTGACATCCTAGTCATGTACCGTGGTCCTATCATCGCTGCCTTATAGGCTAGAAAATTCAAGTGTACGGCCCGGCCCATAAGAAAGGTAACAAGGGCACCTTATACTTGCACTGTTCGAGCAGAAGTCAACAACGCTTATACAAATCAAGTAAGAAACTACAACGACATAACCTCGAACAAGGTAAGCAGAACTGAAGCCTTGCTAGCGCTATTTATTACCTTACTTATGAGCTGATCATACCAGTCTCGGTTTCTTGGCTGATCGTCGCCAGGATAGGGATCTCAAATGGATAAAGTCCGCGTTTCGCATCGGCATTCAAATCTGATAGAGAGCCTCGTCAAAACGCTTCCTTCTTTTGGGATGCTACCAAGCCCACATAGGCGGTCTTACCAAAGCCCCTTGTGTTACCAACATCCCTAGCGTATTTAGGACCTCATGAATCCCCGTGGGACTCCCGTGTGAGATCCTTATCCTTCTATTGCTCCACCTTGACCCGTGGTTTCCAGCCCTACGAGTCTTGAAATGGACAAGCGTGAAGCCATCACCGCATCCAACCTTGGTCCGGTAGTCAGCTTGCTGGCCTGGATCATGGTAGCATCGGTTCTCATCGCGGTCGGCATCAAGTTTACCTTGTCGTCCGTCATTCTCAGAAGATGGATTACGGAGGACATTGCACTAGCCCTCGCGACAGTAAGAATTCCAGACATCTCACAGGACGAAGATGCTAATCACACTCCATTCAGGTTTTCAGTATCGGCTTCTCGGTTTCCATATCGCTTGCCGTACCAAACGGAATCGGGCGACATCAGACGACATTGTCATCGGATCAACTAAAGTCGCTACAGAAAGCAGTCTATTCTGCCAGTATTCTGCTCGTCCTGGTCTCAAGTTGTGCGCAAGCCTCAATCCTCATCTTTCTCTACGAGATCACGCCACGCCTCTCCCACCAGCGGTTGATTTATAGTGTGGCGGGTTTCACTGCCTTGTTCTTCATCCCGTCATTCTTCGTGGCCGTCTTTCCATGTCGTCCGCCTGATGTGTGGGAAGTCTTGGGGAGTCAATGCATCGACCAGTCCTTCTTTTGGAGAACATTTGCGGGAGTGAACCTCGTCATTGAAAGCGCACTGATTCTCCTTCCCGCCTTCATGGTCTGGCCCATGACGATGGATAGAAGACGGAAATCCATAGTGATCACCGGGTTTGCCGCTCGATTGGCGTACGTATTCCCGAACCTGCTTCGATTTTCAAGAGACTTAACAGGCAGCTAACATGGAGAAGGGTTATGGGTGCTTTCGCGGCACAGTTCTATGAAGCTCAGAGCTTGGAGACGCAACTTCTGGATAAAACCTTTGACACTTGGAGATACCATGTGACCACGGTGTTTGTGCAGGGACTCAGCATCATTACTGTCTGCATCCCCTATATTAGAAATCTGCTTCTGGGTATGGAGTCAGGCATGATACAGACCGGTCATTTCAGATTGCCAGACAGGCACGGCTTGGAGCCCGAAATTCCCCTCCGACTGAACTCTCTTAACAACACAGGAGCAAAAATTGCGTAATCTGCCATTTCCTATGTTGAAGGAGATAACATCAATTAGTGCACAAAGTCATCCAGGAGACGGGCCATAGCTTAGAGGATAGACAGGATGCTGGCTTCATTGATTGTGGAGGGCAAGTAATTAAGGTCATCCAATGATCCGCGAAGCCTTACGAAAGCAACGATCGGAGAACTACCTCTGAAATGTATGTAACCTAAAGGTGCAAATTTGCGCATGGAGTGTGCCCGAATACAAGTTAAAAGTGCCCGAGGCGATGCCCGAGTTGTATAGGTAAAGTTCAAGCGGGGACGTCCACGTACTCTGTCGGGCGAGGGCGTAACCATCAATCCCTCATTATAATATTGCTGCAGTGCGTTACATCATAAAGACAAGTGCGCCCGATAGAATGGCTAAAAATCAAGTGTGGCGCCCGATATAATAGGGTGGATCTTCGCGCCCGACAGAGCATGTGTATCACCAGTTCGGGCGCGAAGGTGGGGTTTATAAGTTAAGGCTATGACCTGCTTGGAATCTTTTACTTCAATGAAACATCAGTCACGAAACTAGAAGCAGCCTTTGTCTACCTATCAAGGCTCATAAATCAAGATGACTACGTTTTCTGATTCAATCTCCAAGATCCTCGAGGAAGTACCGGCTCTTTATAGAGGGCCAGGCGGTGCCATCGCTGTGTTGAAAAATGGCGAGCTCCTTGGTCAGCACGTCTGGGGATTTGCCGATCTCGAACGACGAATTCCCATGACGGCCGACACGATAATGCCCATCTGTTCCATCTCGAAGCAGTTTGTGTGCGGGCTACTAACGGACCTGGAGCGCAATCCCACGCCAGCAATGATAGCTCGCGGCGAAGAGCCAACGAAGCAGCTATCGGATCACCTCGGCCAAGTGTTGAATCCCAAGATGCTACAAGACACGGGCTTGACGATTCGCCATCTCGGCAACATGCAATCGGGAATCCGCGACTACTGGGCCATGACGGTCCTTTGGGGTGCAAAGCCCGAGGGGCATTTTTCGGTGGCTGATCACGGCCCGATGATGATGGATCGGATCAAGTCTTTTCATTTCCAACCCGGCACGGAGTATTCGTACTCGAATACGAACTTCTTCGTTCTGGCTCGGGTGATCGAGAAGGTCACCCAAAAGCCGCTGGCGGAATTGCTTGCGGAACGAATATTCGCGCCCGCTGGGATGGCGACGGCAAGACTTTGCGCACACACCGCAGAGCATCCACGCCCGTGCATTGGCTACGAAGGAGATGAGACGCAGGGCTTCTATCCGGCTGTGAATTGCATAGAATGGGCTGGAGATGCAGGCATCGTGGCTTCCCTTGCCGACATGACTGCCTACGAGCAGTTTCTGGACAGCAGCCGAACCGATTCGCAAGGCTGGTACCAAGCCAATTCCGAGCAGCAGCAGTTCAAGGATGGCGCGCCAGCTGATTATGGATATGGCCTAGCCCGCCAACTTGTTGGCGGTGTTGAAACTGTGAGGCACGGAGGGGGGCTTCGTGGGTATCGACTTTCCCGGCTGTATGCACCAGAACCACGGATTTCTATCGTGGTGTTGCTAAACCAAGAGCACGGAGAGCCAGGGGCGATCAGCAATTATATTTTGAAGCGAGCACTAGCTGTTCCTGAAGCCAAGCAGGAGATTGTCCAGTCCAGCCAGAATTGGATTGGAACATATCTCGACCCAGAAACCCAACTGGCCATCACTGTGAAAGCAGATGTTGCCGGAGAGCTCCTCGTGAAATACCATCGGAAAGCAGAAAAGATGCGTGTAATTGAACCGTTCCGAGCTCAGTCTGACGATATGGTCGCAACGCTGGAGGGAAGTCTACTTCACATGCACGTTCCGAAAGACAATCGAAATATCCATGCCCAACGCGTTACAACCACCAAGCTTGCCGGCAATCCCTCCGAAATACACGGACACTACTATTGCGCTGAAATAGATTCCGTGTTCCACTGTAACGGCTCTGGCGGCATGCTTTATGGTTCGTTTGATGGATTCCTGGGCCAGGGACCTGTACATCTGATCCGGTCACTTGGAGACGATGTCTGGGCTCTTGCATGCCCTCGAGCTATGGATTCTCAACCTCCAGGTGACTGGACGGTTGTCGTGCGCCGTGATGACAGTGCTAATGTAACTGGTGTTACTATCGGCTGTTGGCTAGCTAGAAATCTTGAGTTTAACAAAACGGGAGAGATGAAACAACCTGTTATGTAGCACAGCTATAACAGATCTCTGACGGAAACTGATGGGAAGAGCCTAAGGCGCCTCTGCTGCCTCGTTAACGTTTCCATACCGAATACATGTATCTTTGTAGAAGCTCAGATTGAACTTCTCTCTTTACTTTGGCTTCTAATACAATAGTATAAATCACTTTCATACAGTGCAAAAACTGTGGTATTAGCTGCTCTACCCTCAGGATATCTGACGAGCTTTTCGTATTCCCGTCAAGCCTGCCTGCGCGGTAAGCGCTACTAGACATTCTTCGACTCCTCCAAATGCCGTGTCACAAATGTATAAATCTCCTAATACCTCTATAACGCCTCCGCTCATCCTTTACTTCTTTTTCAAGCACTGTTTAATTATCAGCGCCAATGTAAATCTGCGTTACTAGAATCTGTATAAATCTCCCAAAGCCACTAGACCGTGATGTGACTCCCCCCTGCTTAATGCGGTATCGCCCCTATACAGATCCCACAACGGTCAGTAGGCATAGTAGAGTCTGCTTTATCTTCACTCGATAATCCCAGAGTCTCGAGCGCTTGACCTTGGTATAAGCCATGTTATGCAAGTTCACTCTGCATACGTCCTATAATAGTTGAGAAACACTGCCTTTCTTCCAACTACGGGGTCATGCTGATAGGAAGAAAGGAGTAGAATCTGGTTCCCTAAATCTGAGAAAACAAGTAACTCTCCAACGCTGGAAAGGCCACCTGGGGAAGTTTTGGCTCCCCTGCGCTTGACGGTCGGTAGGTAATATAAAAATTTTAATTTATATATTTTAAAAATTATTTATATATAAATTAATAATACGTTTAAATTTATTATAAAAAAATTTATTTAAAAAATTTATTTTTAAATTTTTAAAAATAAAATATAATAATTTATATAAATATAATTTTTTTTTTAAAAAATTATTACGAGCTAATATAATAAGTTAAAGTAATAAGCTATGTGTATTATAAAAAGAACTGTCGGGAGTATAGGCTAGGCGCCACCCTATTAGCTAAGACCGGGCCGGAAGATTAGACAGGATTAGCGGGACTAGCCGTTTCGTATGGAAGCACGTAGTGTAAGCAGATTTATATAGTAACTAGTATATAACTCGTACAACGTAGTACGAGTTAAAGGATAAACGCAATACTACGATTAGTACAGTACCTGCTGCTTGTTATAGCCGCGTCTTACAGTACATGCAAATATCACGTGATCTACAGCTGAATACTATGCTTCCAACAAGAACTAATTAAAGAAAGAAGGATTTTCCCCGGAGAAATCCTTTTGTAAGGGCGCTAAGGCCCGAGCGTCTGCTCACGTGACGGCTATGCCTATTTAGGGGCATAGCTACAGAATAGGTTCAACTTATTACAAAAATAAAAATTTATAAAAAATTTAATTTAACGAATTTATCGAATTATAAAATTTTTTATATTTATAAAATATTTTAAAATATAATAATTTATATAAATATAATTTTTTTTTTAAATATTTGTTACGGACTAATATAATAAATCAAAGTAATAAGCTATGTGTATTACAAAAAAAACTAGTTAAAGAAAGAAGGATTCTCCCCGGAGAAATCCTTTTGTAAGGGCGCTAAGGCCCGAGCGTCTGCTCACGTGACGGCTATGCCTATTTAGGGGCATAGCCACAGAATAGGTTCAACCCATCACAATATTTAATAATTTAATACGATATTTGTCGGGAGTATAGGCCAGGCGCCACCCCATTGGCTGAGACCGGGCCGGAAGATCAGACAGGATTAGCGGGACTAGCCGTTTCGTATGGACGCACGTGGTGTAAGCAGATTTATGCAGTAGCTAGTATATAACTCGTACGATGTAGTACGAGTTAAAGGGGAGACGCAATACCACGATTAGTACAGCACTTGCTGCTTGTTGTGGCCGCGTCTCACAGCACATGCAAATATCACGTGATTTACAGCTGAATACTGTGCTTCCAACAATTTCGATTATAAAATATTTATTTTCGATATATATTAATTATATTTAAAAAAATTTTAAATTTATTTCGATTTTAAAAATAAAAATTTTTTTTTTAAATTAAGAAAATTATTAATAAATTTTTTTTTAAAAAAATATATTTGTCACGGTTATGGAGTCACGTGACCGCTACGAAATACTCACGTGACCGCTCGCCTGTATATATGCCCTGCCTTCCGGCGCTTCCTTCCTTTCTTTCCTCTTTACCTTTAGATTCTAAGAGATAGCCTAATCGATTCCTCGTCTACGTACTTGAGTCCAACCGTGCTGTCACAATATTAAATAAAAGTTTTTTTAAAATAATAAAATTTATTATCTATTATTTTTTTAAATAAAAACTTTTTTAAAATAATTTATTTTAATATTACAGATTTAGTTTTACCGTACTTAAAAATAGCGAGTTTTTCTTTAGATTTAGAGGGGAAACTTAAACAATATATCACTCTTTTTGTTACAGCACGGGCAAGAGTCAATCTCAAGTGGACGGAACTCAGGTCGATTTACTATAACTTAGAATAATAAGGTAAGGAGAGAAGAAGAGCAGAGTGACGAGGGGTTTATATACAGGAAGCTGGACTACTCGCTTAGAGCCAAGGTCACGTGTAGCATCGTTACAGAACCAGATCTGTAACA